AGTCCGTAAGAGTTTCTCTACCTGGGGCAGTTTGGCCAAACAAGAAGGACTGCTTGCGAAGCTTCCAGGTGGACTGCCGATGAGCTGATTGACCTAGCGGAGGCTGGTCCATTCCTGGCACTTGGGGTCTTGGGGTCTTGCCAGGCTGTGCGGCTGCTGGAGTGGTGCCTGTTGCAATCTGATTCTAATCCAGCTGTAAAAGCTAACCGCAGGAGACTCGGAGCGATTTTGCAGAATGGCGACAGAAATTCACCAGCTTGGGACCCAAGATTCTCGGAGGAAGATCCAATGCAGCTCGTGCAGCTTCTCGAGGGGATCGAGGTCAGCGTCGAGGCCCCCGGCTCTCGTGCTCTCTGAGTTCTAGATCGTGTCCGTCTCGCGCGCAAGTACTTGACCTACTGAGAGCACGGTTGTTGCATCCACCGTATGTATGCGGGTAGTGAGCGTTTTGTGCTATGGTCATGTGTAGATGTGTAGGCCTCGAGACTGCTCGGTAGTTGTGCAGATGGCTGTTTTCAGGACAAGGTGAAAGCTAACTTAGGATGTTGGGTTGGTGCCTGCGTGCCGTGGCCCAGTCTCTTCAGCGTGTGCTTCGCCTTCATGAGAGTTGCTTGGCTTCGCTTTGCTTGCGATGTGTGCTTCTCGTCTTTGAGACAGATTCAGCGGTTAACAGACATGTTGAGATTCCATTCAGCTGCTCGATGCTCAGATGCCCAAGCATGCACAAAACGACAGTAACCTCAAAGGAGGTTGCTGTGGGCTTTGGCAAGCTTATTGGGTTTTCAACTTCACGTGGCGCACCCCACCTCACCGCTCGTCTCCCCGCTGAGGCCTGTTTTTCAACCCGCGGCTGGTGCTCAGCGCCGCCAAAGAGGGCCGGACGTGAGAACCCCAGGAAGGTGGTGGCGCGAAATCACTTCCGAACACACTCTTCTCCCTCAGCAAGAGTTCGCTTTCAGTTTTCGTTTGTGTTTGTTTCCAGCGGAATTGCAAAGTTTTAATATGTATATACATATAGAGAGAGAGAGAGAGAGAGAGAGAGAGAGAGAGAGAGAGAGAGAGAGAAAGAGAGAGAGAGAGAGCAGGCTTGATGTTGGGTGCCGGTTCAGAGTTCATCCATGGCAAGCACTCGTACCATAGAGTGCCACATACAAAGCCTTGAAGCTCCAAAGCGTGGCAAGGCTGCGAAAGCACCTGCTCCAGAGGTTGGCAAAGGTTATCATACACCTGCCGCGGGCTTGGTAACAAGCACCGGCCAGTGATACGATTGCACTGCGGAGCCAGTGATGGAGCCCAGAAGCTCGTGGTGATTGGCATTATGGCGAGCCTTTGGACCTTGCCTCATACTGCATAGCAAAGCAGCCACGCCCTTTGACCAGAAGAGCATGGACCACAACCACGAGTGTGGGTGTGGCCGGGTCTGTGAACGTGAGCAGATCATTGTGAGGCTTACAACCGATCCCCTTAAGGGCGACATGAAGATCCTGGTCCGAGACTCAGGGAGATGATTGAGGTCTCCTGCGCAAAGGAGGTTTCTGGGGTTTGTGAACAGGGCTTAGTGTACTGGCCTCGCCAGTGCAGCCCTCGATCTCGTTGATGTTGGTGATGGAGATGCTGTTAAGCCCTTCTTTTGGAGCGAACGTCAGGTGGTGACACGTCATGCAGTCGTAGTCTGATAGGCATGTGAAATCCAGAACATAGGGGCAAAGTGAAGGTCTGGTTTTGGGCCATGCCGCAGGAGTCCGGTAAAGTCTACCTTTGACATTTTCCAGGCCGAGGTCTTCACGTTGCAACTTGCCATGCCAACCTTGTCCGCAGGCGAAGTATCTTCTGAACGCCACCAAGGCCTCACAAGCGCATGTACCTTCGTGCCTTCGTGGACCGTCAGCTCATGGGGGCTCTGGCTTTCGAGAAACAGCTGCAGTGCACACGTAGCCCCCCACGTATCTTGTACTGTACATTCGCAAGATCAAAGTCCACCTTCGCGGAGCGCTTCGGGCTCGTTGAGCCTTGTTTAGGGCCACCCACGTCGACCCTGGCTGCCATAGCCTTTGGAAGGCCAAGTTCAAATTCAAGCCCAGACCCACAAAACCTTTGGAAGGGCCCAGACAGCCGCTGCTACTGCGCACACGTTGCGGAAGACTGGCCGGACGAGGCTCTCGGGGTTGACGGGAGGCCTTTGCTGAGATTCGAAAGTCTTGTATCCACAGGTCGGGTTGTCATTGAGGCTGATTTTTCCAGCACCTTTGAAGATTTTGTGCTCCTGTCAATGTGTGGATGTTTTTTTGAAATTCGTGTGAGTGGGAATTGGGCTGAAGTGGCTCAGGCACTTTGTCCCTGAAACTCTTAAGCCCCCGTCAGAAGCAACCCTTCAAACCATTTCAGTCTCCTTCGAGAGGACTCTCCGTTTCGGGTTTTTTTGCTTGTGGCAGCTTTGACGTGCCTGGGCTTGGGGCGAAATCTACAGGTATCTCCATAAAAAAAAGTGGAAGTGGTTGGCACTCTGCCGCAGAAAAGTTTGTACATATTTGCGCTGCGTTGAGAGGACAACCGCGAAGCCTACCGCGGCGAGCTCATGGAGGCTGTTAAGAAGCCCAGGCCTCAGAGCTGCATGCTGCAGTTGGCCCGCAGTGACCTTTTTTAAGCTTTCATTCTCTCTCTTGCTGCTCTCTCTTGCTGCTCTCTCTTGCTGCACTCTCCGTCTGGCGACTCGGTCTTGCCCTGTTCCCACCCATTCTCTGCAGTGCCTAGGCAGCTCGAGCTGTTCGGAGGTGAGTGTGGACAGCAAGCGCCCCAGAGGCCACAGAGAGCCCGCATGTGCTGAAACTCGATATCTGAGAGCTCGCTGAGAGTTCACGCCAAAATCTTGGGCAATCCGCTCGTAGCTCGTCACGATCGTTTGTGATCCTCGCGGCTTAGGCTTCAGATGGCTTCGGATGGCTTCAGGTTCTAAAGTGGATCTACGGTGCGAAGTGGTTTGCGATCGGTTAGGGTACCCCGCCCTAAAGCTGAAACGGTTCTTCGGTTGAAGGCACGGGCATGATGGACCATACTCTAAGACTCTAAGGCTGAGAAAGTGCATAGCCTCCGCTGCGGAGCTCGTCGAGGGTGAGGCACCAGATGAGAACAGCCGGGCCCTTTTGGTGGCTAGTCCAGGTCGTTCGGCATCCTTATCTTCTGCGCTGTGAGTGCTGATAGGCTGCTTCCATCCAACTGCACAACTGCACTCAAGCCAAGAAGCATCGTGGCAAAGCCCTTGAGTGCGCAAGCATCGGTTGGGCACCTGAGCGTTCCAAGCGCTGAGTCAAAGTGCCGAGGCCTCGCCTGCGCTGCACTGCTAAGGCACGCTTCTCGTATCTGGCGGAACCCGGTTCCTCCAAACCACGGAACATCCTACTTGCCGCCGTTTATCAGCCGAAAGCAGCCGAAAGCATTCAGATCGGTCTGGCAGGTTGGACAACGACTCCGTGATAATCCCGGAGGCAACCTTCATGATTGGGCTTTGGATTTCCAGAGCTTAGTCCTGAGATTTGTCGATTCGTCTGAGGAACAATCGAGACAAAGTCGGAGTCGGAGTCTTTAGTTCGAGCACAAGCCACGGCTCCTGCCAGGAGTGGCGGGCGGATCCGTACTGGCAGGCTGCTTTGGGGAGATGTCTGTGAGAATGTCTCATTGAGCTGAGCACCTCTAGGACTCTAGAAGGGGCACCTGAAGAGGCCCCTTCTCGCCTCCCTTCTCTGCCTTTCCTCCTAGAATGCTTGGCAGTCAGGGCGGGGGGGGGGGGGGGCATAGGGCTGAAAAAGCACTGCTTACCAAGGTCTAAGGAGCTTGAAAGAGCGAGTCGGTTAGGCATTTGAAGCCGCAGAAAATGGCCAAGAAACTGCCCCGAGGCTGTCCACGAGCGCCAGGTGCTCCGTTTCGACCCCTCCTGGGCGCTGCAGATCACGGATGGCCTGCTGGGAAATTAGGGAAGATCTTCGGGTGGGGGGGGGTTTCCTGGAGGAATATAGAAGTTATAGGGGTTGAGTAGGGCTTCAAGAGATGCTTCAGGGTTACATCGTGTGCAGGTTCAGGCCGAGTCCATGCTTGCGCGGTCGTCGGATCTAAGCTGGGTCAGCTTGAACATCCCCAAGGCCCCAAGCGTCCCCAAACATCCCATGCGTCTTAAGCCTTTGCACACCTTTGAATCCCCTCTGCTCTTGCAGGCGCCAGCTGTTGTATGCAGCTGCTTCGGCTAGGGGTGCCAGCCAACCAGGAGAAAGCAAGAAGTCTACAGCATCTTGCATCCCTGCTTTGTTTAAACTTTCTTTCTCCAGAGTTTCAAATAGCGCACTCCAAGAAGCACAGGAGCTGGCTCGGAGCTTGAAGACTTCCTCGAGCAGCTGCGCCGTCACGAGCCTTGCGGGGTGCCGCTGGTTGAAAGGTTCACGCTAGGGTTCTACGAGGTTCTGCTCGTGTATGATCTGTACTGTTGACGTGCTTGAAGTGTCTTGAAATGTAGGCTCTTGTCCTGAGCCCGATGGCTCCTGACGACTCCAACTCACGTCGCTGTTGCGTAACAGCGAAGACCCAGGGGGCACTTCGGCATGGGTTGACAGGTACTCAGAGCTGCGTCAAGTGCTGCACGCCAGGATGCAGGACTGAGTGGGCGACTGGCCTTGCGTGAATGTTCCATAGGAGCTGCCTACCCTCGGACAGACTGGTCACGAGGGCCTTGTCCACGGATATCTCCCTAGGAGTTTCCAAAGGCCCATGGCCCAAATCCCCCTTGTCTGGCCCCTGACCCACGCCCGTGCACCTTGGCTCCCAGTAGCCCCTGGCAGTTTCTCGGTTCCGTGGTGGAGTGCGAGACTTCACCTGGGGGGGGTCTGTTCTGCGGACCTTGTAAAAGCAATTGCAGCTTGTAGGGTTGGTGTTGCGGACAAGTCGTATGCAATGAGCCAGTCAGGGGAGATCACTCTTGAACAGACCCCCGCGTGCAAGCGACTCTTCTAGCCAAGATGCTTCACATCTGGCAGGTTTCAGGGGAAGAGCTGCTTTCCCTTCCTGGAATGTTTTGTTGATTCTGTTGATATAGGCTGCGCTGCTTACCCGAAGCGAAGCCCCGAAGCGAATATGGACGACCCAGGTTGGCTACCATACCTGCGAAGCAACTAAGCAGCGTGAAGGCACCGGACCGGGGAGTAGAACCTCAGCCTTCAAAGCTGTTGAAAGCTGTTGAAAGCTGTTGAAAGCTTGAATCTCACACCGAAACACTCAACCCCGCCTTGCAACCCGAACCACTCCTAGAGTTCCCGAAAAAGAATGCACCCCGTCGGGTACGGGGGGGGAGCTAGGGGCTACGGGGAGCACCCTTAAAACGACATTGAGAGCTCCAACTTCAAAAGAAAGAATCCTCCCCCTTTAGCTGCCTCTTGCCAGTGGTGTGGAGGCCCTGAAGCGGTCCCTGCAGCACCTCTGTGGCTTCTCGCGCTTCAGGCAGCGGCTTCTGCACAATGGCAGCGCCCCGACGCGAATTGGAGAAAAAATGACGGAGAGGGAGAGGGAGAGGGAGAGGGAGAGGGAGAGGGAGAGGGATATGGAGAGGGAGACAAAGAGCCCCCTATCCAAGAGTAGAGAAAGAGTGGTAATGGGCCTTAATTCTTCTCATTTTCCTAGGAAGGTGAGAAATAAGAAGGAAAGGCCGCGTCCCTCAACGAAGGTGCCCTGGATGATATGTCCACGCTCGAGGGGGACGCCGACCTGCAGCTGGTACTGCTGCCCTTCGTGCATGGATCGAAGCAGGCAGACGAACTGGCAGATGCTGCTGGAAATGGCCTGGTGTCCGTTGTTGAGGACCCCCAAACTCGCCCGAAGCGGCTCCTTGCGATTACAGTGTCATGATGTGTCATAATGTGTCATGATGTGTCATGATGTGTCATGATGTGTCATGATGTGTCATGATGATTCTCTTTGTTCTTTATGCCTCGAAGTCGAAGTCTCAGAAGCGCGCTGTTTAACCCATAGCCATCAGTCTTGAGGAGCTCTTGCAGCGGCCCCTAAATCCGGACTCGGTGGACCAGAACGGAGAGACACCGCTCTACAGGAGCCAAGTTGCGGTTCGTAAGCACTCACCAGGCATTCCCCCAACACCCTCGCTGCGCAGCGTCAATAACCCCCACTACAACCTTTTCGGGACAGGGCTTGCCTCATCGACTCAGCAGACACGGCGCGCCTTTTGCTGGAGGCGGGCGCTGACAAGGACCTGGCCTGCCACCTGCTGGGAGAAAAGGACAATTCTATGTTTCATTTACCTGTTTTAGTGTCTTTGCTTTCTGGCCTGTAAAAACGTAAGCCCGTATCGAAAAGAAAAACCAAAGCAGTCAGGTGGGCAGCACCATTTGACAGCTCTCGTTGTAGCATCTGGCCTTGGCCATTTGGACACCGTGCGCGTGCTGCTCCAGGCTGGTGCCGACCAGGCGAAGCAATGCAAACGGTATTTTTTAGTTCGTATTGAATAGGGGCCGGATAACTTTTTTCCCGGTGATGGTTGTTTCTTACCTTGGTGTCACAAAGAAACGAAGTTGTCATATGGGGTTTCAATATGTTTCGATGCAAGGAGATGTGCTGCGATGGCCTCTGTGGGAGTGATCAAGGCGCCGACTTGCTGCGGGAGGCAGGCATCGATGAGGGCCGGATCGAGGCCATCTGCGGACCGGATGGTGTGACTGCTCTCGGTGCAGCAGCGAGCCATGGCCACCTTGACACCATGCGCCTCCTGCTCGAGTCCAAATCCTACACTGCTTTACAGGCTTTACATGTCTGAGTGCTTTGTGCAATGCCAAAGAGGAAGCCGTGACCGGGTGCGCTGGACACCGCTTTGCTCGAACTTCCAGACTTGCAGCAATCTCAATATAGAAGTTGTACAGATACAGCTTGTTTCTACACTCTGCGTGTATAGTGTACCATTAACCTTCGCCAGCAATGCCTGAGCAAAAGTTAAGGATTGCAGTTAGTCACCGTTATGGCTGCACCGCACGTTTTGAGACTTTGCCTATCATGGGTGGTTTATTAATTGCCGAGCTCAGGGTATCCTTTGAGATGCAAGCTTTCATGCAGCCGAGGTGCAACCCGCGTAACACATGCCCATCAATGCTCACTATTGCTCACATCTGTTGAATCATTGACTTCCTCACCCGTGGGACAGCCCACCCCATCTCCACGACAACTTCCTGATCTCCCAAACCTACAGAGCATGAACCCACAGCCGCAGCAGGAACCTCAACCCACAAAGCAACAGCAGCAACAGTAAACTTGCAAGAGTCCCAGACCTCAATTGTTCCATGGTGCAAGAGGAGCTTTATGCCCGGGGCTACGTTACCTACTCCAACCTTTGCAGCCTGGCTTGGATTTTGCTTCTTGATTGCGTGTGGGCCTCCTTAAGTTCAAGGACTCCAGACTCACTGCATACTCACTGCATACTCAGTTGCTTTGTGGATGTGATTCGTGGTCGTTGCATCAATGCCGTATCGGCTTGGCAAAAGTCCGTCATGATAAAGGCGAAAACGAAGGTGTTTTACGCAACCATTGCTGAATGCTTTGCGCCTGTAGCAGGGCTACATACCTCGTGAACATGCAAAGCTTGCGCTCAGTCGCAGAGACCCTTTCATCAAAAAAGACGTGAGTCCAGGGTCTGGAGCTGAGGTAACAAAGGCTTCCAGCAGAAGATGAAGGAGGTGGGGACAAAAGCGCTGAACAGCAAACACAAAGGGGCTCGAAGCCCTGGACCCTGCCTAAAACCCTCTCTGTTTCAGTCAAATTCGACAACAGGCCCCAACGTGATTCAGGAGGGGAGGGGGTTCCCTTGAGACTCTTGGGCTCCGAGATTCAGCAGACTGTCGTTTCTGAACAAGCGTTCCCAAATCATTCACAGAACTTCGCAGAACTTCGCAAACTGTGTGAGCCAGGTCGCCCTGCGCGCAGCCGCGAATGCTGGAGTGGATGTCGACGCCTCAAAGGCAGAAGGACGGACGTCACACCTCGTGCATCGATGCTTCACGGAATTCAAAACCCAGGCGTGTTCCTTGGGTTTGGGGGGGGGGGGGGGGCGCGGTAAGCATCTTCGAAAAGCCCTTTAACAGCCCTAACAAGCCCGAAGCCCCAAGTTGAACAGCAAAGAGCTGGAAAACGCTAGTAGCAGCCAGTGTTGAAGTGCGCGCGTGGTTAAGGTCGGCTTGCCTGAGCAGATGATCAAACCAAAGCGCCTGCAGCGCCTGCTCGAGAAAACCCGAGATGCTCGGGCACCCGGTGATCATCTCTACACTTTCCCTTCGTTCTTCTTGGTTTGGGGGGAAAAGAAGGTCCATTAGCGCTTTCTAGTAAGGTTTGGGTCTCTGTGATGTTCAGGGACTAGGGGTAGGTGGCCGCAGCCGACAGAGCTGTGGCATCCGACACCGTCCGACACTGTCCCCAGCAGCCTAGAACGGCCCCGCGCATGGTGTCGGCGAGTTTATTCCCAGGCTTGGAACTCCAAAGTGAAAACGAAAACGGCCCGGTCCTGGACGAAACTTAAGACGAAGCAGGGTAGGAAGCATGAGTTTGAATTCCTGCAAAGCAAGCAGCAACACAAGGATATCATCTTGTTTAAAAGGTCAAAGTTTACCCTGCACCTGAGTTACCCTTTGGCCCCTTTGGGTTCCCTTAGCGCTGCTTGCAGAAGGGCCTTTGCACATCTTTGCGCGGAGTTCGAGAGCTGTTTCGAGTCTTGCAAAGTTACATTGCGCCCAGGCAGCGGTCGAGCGGGCCGGCTGGCAGTGGCCCGGCAGGTGGGTCGTTGACATGACCCGTAAGAGGGCAACTCAATGCAACTCATCAAAATTCTACATTGACCCCATGGTTGCGCTGGAGCCCTGAAGTGTCCTAAACTTTTCTCCGCTGAGTAAGGCTGGAGGTGCTGGGGAGGACACAAGTTCATGGCATTTGACAGCCCATTAAGAATGAGATGGCTGTGATATGCTACGACTCTTACGTGGCGCCGACGCACCTGGTTCTATTGATTCAACGTGTGCAACTTCGAAGATTCGTCTCGGGGAAGGTCTGAGAGGGGAGCACAAGTGCACAGTAGTAAGTAACCTGGTCCTGCAGCAGGAACGAGCTCTACCTCCGCCATGCTGCGTGTGCTCTGGCATGCAATAGCAGGAGGTTGCACATGTTGCACGACATCAGGGTCCTTTCTAGGTCCTTGTGGAGCCCGAGAAATATTCCTCCTCAGTTGCATCATCCCATGGCCGATCGGCGAAGGGCGAACTTCCCGCCATGGGCCCTCATTGAAGGGGCCGAAGTGATTCAAAGTTCGCCCCTAGGCTTCTACATCCTGGACACGGTGCGGCTTTCGTTCAGTTGCCGGAGGCCTCAGGTGCTCTCCTGCGCATCTCTGGGCAGGCATACATGGGTGGATCGCTAAGTTTGCTAGCTGGGGGCCTCCCTTTCTCTCAGAGCAGGTGCGCAGGGAGTGGGTGCTTCTTGTGTCGGATCGGCTCCATATACACGTAGTTCCTCTGAAATTACTCTGCATTACTCAGGTCGCGGCGAGACACCGCCAGAGCAGGCCTCCGTTATCGGGCTCTGACTCAAGCAGAGGATGTGTTGGCTTTCTCTGAGTGCCAGCGTGCCGGGTTCTGAACAGCGGCTTTGTTCAGCTTTGCGTGTTATGGGACAGGCCCGTTGCTTTGGCCCCTGGCAGAAGAGAACCGCAGGTGAAATGCTGCATGAAGGTCCTCGAGGAGTTTGAGAAGTGCACGGTGGAGGTGCGAACAAAGATTCCCTTGTTTCGGAAAGATTTTCAGGGCCTTGCACCTGCATGTCAAGGCATCAAATCACTGAATCCTTTAAGCATAAGCATGACCACTGCTTTGCTCTCGAAACTGGAAGCAATGCCGGATACCGACGGCGTATTGCTAGCTGTTTCGCTGAAACCGAAATGTGATGTCGGAAGCTTCTTCTTCCATCCTTCTTCCCTAACCTTGGGGCCTTGAATTGTCTCCTGCAGGCCGAGGGCGTCCGCCTGCTCCGGCGCAAAAGCGGGTTTGCCTCTGGGGTAAGGACCCTCAGAGCTGAGCGAGCCGGGTTTGGGAGTCGAGGATAACTAACAATGATTGGTATCGTCAGTATAGTCAGTCTAGCCTTAAATTATAATGCTAGCACTTGTAAGGATCTCAGATGTAATCCGGAGCTGGAACGCGAGCTGCAATAAATGCGGCCATGTGATGTATCAGTTAGACCCTCAGGTTCGGGGAGAGGGCGGATACGCAGACGTGAAGCTGCTGTGCTATGCCGACCTCGGAGTCCACCAGGCCTAGGAAAAGAGCTGGGGATTTAAGGGTTTTGGGCCGGGCATTCAGGTGTGCTTGGGTCATGCTGCGTGGCCTTTGCTAAGGTCGTGTGCTTTTGCATCCAGCTGCCCCTGTGCTGCACGCTCCAAGCCCTCAGTCGTCAAGCTCAAGTCGTAAGCTATTTATCCTTATCTCACCGATCCTTTTGCACCAATTCAGTGCATGAACCACACAACCCTCCTGAGCCCTATGTCACATCTTTCTGTGTCGGGTTTGTGGGCTGCAGCCTAGCAGGCCTTCGACGGCACGGAGATACCCCTGCGCATCATTGGAGAGGCAAATGGGTTAATGGGTGGTCCTTTCAGACACCGAGAAGCACAGAACCCCCACAGCAGCTGACTTGTGAAGAGAGTCAGGGAATCGGTTTGGTCAAACAGGTATCCCGGAGCGAGTGTTCAGCGTCTGTCCCTCTTCCACTTCAGGTGCAGCTTATCCTCGAGAGCTATGAGCAGGCAGTTCGTTCGGTCTTGTTTGAGACTTTGCACACGTGCAAGTCGAACTGTGCACTTTTGCGCGCCAGGTTTCTTCCCCCCCCCCCCCCAACAAAAGCCCTCAAAGAGCCCTCTTGAACTCGTGCTTCCAAACTCGAGGTGAAGCATCGGATGCACCTCGCGTACGAGGCTTGCTCCCCCACCTCCAGTTGCTCCTAGTCCAGGGTCCTCAGGCATTTTGGGCCCAGACTAAGTTGTGCTTTTGGGTGGGCGACTCCTCCGAAGAATTTCTGCGACACAGGGTGCAGCATAAAACGCATTTCTGGCGCAGCTTGTGTGCGCAATGTGAAGCAGAAATATTTTGCAAATAGCTGCTGTGAAGGCCCTCCAGTGTGACAAGCGAGAGAAGTCGGGAAGTCGCGCCTAGCCATCCCAGATGCTCTCCTCCCAGATGACATGGGGTGCAGGACATCCTGACAGCCGGACCAAATCGAGCCTGGCCTTGCCCACTGTAGTTTCCTCGCTCTGCTTACAGTCCTCATTCCCCTGAAAGATTCTTGACTCTTCCCATTGCGTGATACTCGAAAGTTACAATGACAACAGTCCCGACCTGCCATAACATCGGCAGGTGAATCGTGGCAGCTTCGACCGCAAGGGCTGAGCCGGCCGAGCCCAGTGTCAAGCTCCGAAGAAGGAGGGGTGCGAACAGGCGTTCTTTTACCTGGGTTGGACGCCTTTGCTTGGTTTTAAAACGGGAGACTTCACTAGCTTCTTTTGGGGAGCACGACTTGCCAGCTGCAGAAGAGAGAAAGCCACAGCGTGCGCATTGTGTGCACAGTGCTGTTGACACGATGCAGAATCGCTTCTTCGAGTACTTCAAACGTCGAACTGCGCGTGTACTTTTTCCAAGTGCTGTGTAGGCGTTTTCAAGTTCATGGAAAAAGCCCCCCCCCCCTAACACCGTGTCAAACTTTTTAATGTCCCGAATCCGCTTACAACGCATT